CCAAGGCTTTTTGAACCAATTTCCATTTCCTGAACTTCCCATTTCAAGCTTGGTTTTCCTCCTGTTTTCAGCACTTAACTAGACTTAGAATCCATCAATTAAATCACCTAATTGCATAGAAACTAAGGCTTGATCATAAAGACACATAAACTTGTGCAAATCTACATAAAACTAGTGAATTCATGCAATTTCTAGCCAAGGTTTATTCTAGTTTTCTACCCCTTATGTTCCTCCTTAATCATGCTTCTGTTTTAGATTTTTAAACCATAGGATTATAGGAAATGTGACATTTCAAACCAAGTTTGGCTTGTATAATACCATTCTTGAAACATTACATGTCTTCATATATCATTTGCATGCATTACATCTTATAATAAATTTAAACCTAATGAATTTTTTTTAAAAAAAAATTTCCTATCCACAACCTTAGGAATGATTCAAAAGCATTTATAGATATTAAGGCATGAGTTTGAGGTGATAGTGGAAGTGGAAAAAAAACCCTAGGACTGATTCAAAAACATTTATAGACATTAAGACATGAGTTTGAGGTGATAGTGGAAATGGGGAAAAAAATGATGGTTTGGAGGGAGAAACCTAGATTAGGAAAATAATAGCAATAATAATGATTCTAAAAATTGATTAAATAAACTTGGGAAACTTAATTAGTGATTTAATCTAGTCTACACCTTAAGTCTAGGAGGACAAGGAGGGCATTGGACTAGTTAACGAGGGGTGGAAATGGGAATAGAAGCTCAAAGGACAAGGAATGAAACCAAAGTTTAAGAGAAGGGCATTATGGTCATTTCACATAGGGGCTTTGGCCGCCTCTTTATGCCGACCAAAAGGAGGTATAAAAACCCCCTTGAGCTTTCTAGAGAGGGTATGAGAGACCAAAGGAATTTTGTGACAGCTAAAATAGACTAGACATTATGGTTAGTTAGTGAATTAAGGACTAGTGGAGATTAATTAAGAAATGGGTGATCCAAGAAAGTTGAATTGAAGACAAAACCTAGGAGAAATTAAGTGGAATGAAGGTAACAAGAGTGCTGAATTTTAAGCAAAGAAGTGAGGTGAATTGGAGTAGCATTTTGGGGATTTAAACTAGTCTCTACCACCTTAGGGCCAAAACTTTAAAGTGTTGAGATAATTCTCACTTCAAGATACTTAAGAAGCCTAGGAAATGATTATTGAAAATTTAAGATAAGAAAATACTTGATAAATAATAATCTAACCTAGAGATTAGGAAGGCCAAGGAGTAAAGTCTCTATCAAGAGTAACCCCATAGCTAAACTTCTGAGAGAGTGTGAGCTAAATTGTGAAACCAAAATGAGACTCAATTAAGGATTAATGAGGGACTTAGGGTTACATGACGTTAAGGAAGAAACAAGAGCTAAAGGAGAACTAAAACTAAAGTTAAGTTAGCTAGGGTGTAGACAAGGAGAGTGCTGAAAATCTTATGGGAAATTAAGAGGCTTGAGGGGATAATTCTAAGTCTCTAAAAGGTATTTAAGGAAAGCTAAAAACAAGGTAAAATATAGGGAAATATGTTGGGAGGAGAAGAGGGAGGGTTAATGCAAAGTATGTCAAGGAAAACAAGCTTAAACTTGAATTTATAAAGACTTAATGCAAAAACAAAAGCTTTTTTGCAACCTTACATTCCCTTGGCTGAGAAAACTAGGAAAAGGACCACATTTGGCATAAACCTAAGATATATTCAACTAAGGAAGTTTGTGACATGGGTGCAGAAAATTTTAGGCAAAAAATCCTAATTTAGGATAATGGTTTTGAAAAAACTATAACCTTCTAAGAGGGCACAAAATAGGGTAGGATTAAAGGCCAAAGAGGGACCAAAAGTAGAAACAAAGTTAGGAAAGAAATAAAGGCTAAAAGCAAGCTAAATTCAAGACTAAGTCACATATATGAATGCAGAAAATTTCAAGCAACTTTAAGAGATTTGAAGAATGAATTTTAAGCTTTCAAATGATCCTTAAGGGAGTTAAAACTTGAGCATAGTCAAGGTAAATAGTGGAGTAAAGCATGGTGTCAAGAAGACGAGAAGATAGGAAATTTAAAAGAGCATAAAAGTTAAGATAAAAGAAAATTAGTAACTAGAGAAGTTAAAGAATTTAGTATGCATTTTTATGAAGCATTTATGCATTTCACTTACATACAACATATGTCCACCTATAGGAAAAGAAAGATAGACACGAATTAAATCTAGTCAATTAGTTCTAGGACCACAATCATAGACTACACACGAGGTTAGTGACATACTCTCTAATCTTCAAATTTTGTAAATGCATGTTTTATGAAAAAAATAAAATATTTTCCATGAAATGTATGTACTATCATATCAAACTTGAAAATTGTCTATGTTTTGATTTTCAGTATATACATGTGATTTTATAATTTTATACTTTTATGATATTTTAGTACCTCAGCACTCAGATATGAATATTGGACAGCCATCTAGAGTAGGTGGTAATTATACATATAATATATGACATATGTGATTTTGGACCCAATGGATGTAATATATGACATATGTGATTTTAGACCTAATGGGTTCTTAAATGCCAAATGTTGCGTCAGTTTAGTCATGGTGTGGTCACCCATGATGCAAACTACTTAATGTTGTAACACTTGATATGTTTTGACATTTTATGTTTTGCTGCCCTTAGGCCTTGTTGAATGTGCACAACCGACTAAAGATTATAAGATAGATAATATATGGTTATAATTTCTCTACTTTCTTATATTTCATATTTTAGCTTAATTTGATACGGTAGTATACTATTTTTGGTGATTTGCATTATGTGTTTTTAGTGATTCAATGTTTTCAATGAACCATGTTTTTCTATAGTAATACCATGCAAACTCTATTTTTACTAAATTTAGATTATATGTCATTTACTAGGATGACTGTCTCACCACTCCTTTCCCCATGTAAATACTAGGAAGATTTAACTTATCATAGTAGCATTAGCATCACTATATCAACGTTACAAATCATTTAGTGGAGATTGGGCCGTTAGGTAGTGTTTTTATGTTTAGTGAAAGGTGAGAGTTTGAAATTGTAAAGACAATTTATGATTAAGAATGAATTGTAATAATAAAAGTGTACTACATAGTGAAACAAATTATCTTGATGATACATTATTTGCTTGTACATGTATATGTTAAGCTATAATGTATAACAGGTGTTCTATGATATACAATTTTCACAAGTTACATCAATAGAGCCAGTAAGATAGGGGTCATAGTGACCAACATTCTTTTAAGTCATTTTAAGTATAAGAAGGTGTTGGTTACTGTCCCACTATCATGTTTTGCCCAATTAGTTAGAGGAGTGGAGTGTGATAGGAAATCTCAAGATGAATCAAGAGTTCACACCAATCCAAGCAAAAAGTACAAAAACTTAACAAAACTTCACATTTTTACCTTTATTGGATCCTGTTCTCTCCTCCCCTTTTTCTTCCTTTTTGCTTCAACTTCTCCTTACCAATTTCAGCTGCTTAGGCTCCCTTTTATATCCCCCAAAGCTATTCAAACAACCTTCTCCAAGAAGCTTTAGTGAAAAGACCAAAACACCCTTGTTACTAAAGATTTATTTCTTCCCATGTCTCCTTCACCTACTTGCTTCCCTATTTCCCTTTTCTACCGTTAGAACTTCTATTAATATACCCATTTTACCCCTTAGGTTTCTTAAACTAATAATAGGCTTATAAGTTAGCTAACATTACTAATCATTTTACTTAACTTCTTTTTATTTCTTATCGTTAATCCACACTTCCTACATCCTTTTGTCTATTTTCATTTCATTCTCTTATCCAACTTATTTTTATTTTAAATTGGTTCTTTAACGAGGGCATTGCTCCCTTGTAAGGCTATTTGTAAGAAAACATGTTAAGTCTTTATATCGAACTAATTTATCAAGATGTGAGTAATGCCATGTGTAGAATGTCATGCTATGAATGCACAAGTAGGTGTATGTGCTCATGGGTAGGGTGAAAAATATGTTACGCGTGCGTAGGTCCTTGATTGGGGATGTCACAAGGAGAGAGATTGTAGAGATGAGAGGTGAAAATAAAAGAGGGAGGACGGAAAGTGGTGGAGGAGAAGACCAGTTATGAGAGTGGGTGGGGGATGAGTCTATGAAGAGAGAGATTGTGGAGAGGTGAAAATCAAGAAGGGAAAAATAAAATAAAAAAAAAATTGGACAAGAGAAGAGAAAAATTTGAATATTTGATTTTTTAAATAAAAATTTATCGATAAACAAATTACACAAACTATATTTTAAACATCCATTTTATTATTTTTAAGAACTTTTTAACATATTTTGTAAACACATTTCACTTCTAATTATAATTAGTTTTTATCCACTTTTATTTAAAATTTTAATTTGTAATTTTTTATAAGCATTTGTAGCAGCCTTTTATAGAACAATTCAATTTTAAATCAATTGATTAAATTGACCAAAATAGTTTTTTCAAGTAGATATAGAGAAGATGATTTTTATTGGAAATTCTCACGCAAGACATAACAATGTAAAAGCTTTCATATTGTTATGAAAATCTAAGTATAAATTTCATTTTTAAGCAATTCATTTTAAAATCAATTGATTAAATTGACTAAAATAGTTTTTTTAAGCAAATACAGAGAAGAAGATTTTTTATTCGAAATTTTCACGCAAAACAAAACAATGTAAAAGTTTCATGTTGGTACAAAAATCTAAGTATAAATTTCATTTTTATAAACAATTCGTTATAAGTGAATTGATTAAATCGACTAAAACAATTTTTTAAGAAAATATAGAGAAGATGATTTTTTTTTTATTGGAAATTCTCACGCAAAACAAAACAATATAAAAGCTTTCGTATTGGCATGAAAAATCTAAGTACAAATTTATTGTATCCGCTTCGCCCCATAAAATTCTTTTGAGACTTTAAGGGAGTCTTTTCACTGTGAGCCGTCCGATTTAAATTTAGCAACTTGTAGGAAATCTAGCGACCACAGTGAAACTGAGCCGCAACCTATACTGGACGGGGAGCCGGCTCCGGTTCTCGTCTCCCCGCTTTTAAAACAGCGAATAGCAAAACGGCGAGTGAGGTGAGCATCACTTTAGGAGCAGAGGTGGGGTTAGGAGAGAGCATGGGAAGCGAAGAAGACAGCGCTGTGAAAGAACCCCTCGATCTTATTCGGCTTAGCCTCGACGAGAGAATCTACGTCAAGCTTCGAAATGATCGTGAACTCCGTGGAAAGCTTCATGTATGGAGTTCTTTTTTTTTTTTTTTTTTTTTCCTTAAATACTCTTTATATTGCTTATATTCCTCTGCTTTAGGAGGAGGGCTTGGGTACTCAAACTTATAACTGGTCTGAGATCTTGATAATTCGACGCATTTGCATTTTCTATGGTTTCTTTTTAAATTTCTTTTTTAGTTGGGTAATTGTTAGTTATCTAGGGCTTATATGCGAAATTGGTGGTAACTTACTTTTTTTTCCTGAAAATTACATTTTATTCGTTAGTTATTCGATGGTACAAATTTAGATGCGTGACTCCCGAAAATTTTTGCGGCACTAACAACAATTGCATTAAATAATTGTGGCATAGGAACTCCCCTTCTCTGTTTTAGCTATTTGACATAATTTTTGTTAGAATTTTGTGTGAACTAGTAGGAAATCTAAACGAATAAATTATCAGAAGCAATACCTATACTTGCATCCGGAGATCAAAGAGTTCAGAAAGATCTTTCATTGGGTTCGGTCCTTCTTTCCTTCCTGAGAGTGCACTGCTTAATCTTGAGTTAATGGATTAGGTTTCATGGTACATCCCCTACTAAGTTGGATGTAGGTGACCATGATTGTCTATGAACGCTTCTGATTTAAGCATGTGGTATGATATATAATGATGCAGAATATTGCGTTTATATCGTGTCCTTCAAAACAACCAAAGAGAAAATGTATATTCACCTCATCCACTGATTTGTTGGTTGTTCTCTGATATAGCACAGTGACAAATGGTCTAATTCTAAATTCTATAGAATTTTGCAGTGTATAAAGCCGATTCCTAGTGTTGAAGTTAGGGTTTGAATGATTGTATAGGTGAAGAGTATGGAATATTGGGCCTCTTTTGGTGTTGTAAAAACTAAATACATTGAAACAGTAACCCTATGGACAAAGAAGATGAGAAGGGAAATTCTAGGACTCCCATTGTCCCACCTAGACATAGGACTTAGGAGTTACCCCCAACTCAGAGCTGCATATACATCAATGAATCACAAGGAGCTTCAAAAGTGTCTGACCAAATCTCTATCAAACAGAAAGCTCTTATGCATATTTCCAGGTTAGTAACCTAATTCAACCAGGACTAATATTTGAAGAGAGAGGGAAGTTTAAAATTTTGACTGCTAGACTACTGTAGACCTGAAGAGAATCATATATAAATGGCCCAATAACATAACTTGATCAGAAATAGAATAAATTGTCTCCCTACAAGTTAAATATACCTGGTAACAATATTGACTACTTCCTAATTGAGAGATAAATATGGCTGGAAGTTTTTAAACATGTAATAAATAAAAATATAATACTTGAAGGAAAGATATTGTGATTATACATAACCTGAAGTATGTCTGAAGGAAATTTTAGTATTCTTCTTTTGCTACTTTTTCTAAATCTTATTCATTTGGGTTGAAAGAGAAAACAGTCTTTTACTAGTTTTGATTACAACTGTTAACCTTAAGTTTCTGTCTGATTGCTTTAAGGTCCTATGTAGTCTCACATGTGTATACATTCATTTATGCATGCAGGTGTACACACACGCACACGCACGCACGCGCGCGTGCACACACACACACAGAATAAAACATCCACCATGTTGGCATATAAAACTGACAAACTGATTTAGGCACCCTTGTTACTGAATCATCCAACTGTGTGTTTTGTATATTGATTATATGGTGCCATAATGGCAATTAGAATTCAAACAAATTTATATATCAGCCACCTGATAGCTCATGGCAAGTGCCAACTGCCAAGATGACTAATACTTGGCTATTGGTATATAGTATAGATTAATTAAATTTTAAATTCTCTCTCTCTCTCTCTCTCCCTCCCTCTCTCTCTCTCTCTCTCTGATTTCAATATTTCCTAGTAGTATTTATTGTTTGTGCTGGGAAAGACTGGGATTAGTTTCCAGTATCTCTTGTCAAGATGTTAATACTGAAGTTAATTCAATGTATTCACTATTTTGGCACTTGAATTAAGGCTTTATGCTATGGACTAAATGTCTTTCTTTTTCTTTTTCTTTTTCTTTTTCTTTTTATTCTTCTTATTCTTCTTTTTGCGATGGTAATATGTTTTGTAGGCCTATGATCAGCATCTAAATATGATACTTGGGGATGTTGAAGAAATTGTAACAACAGTGGAGATTGATGATGAGACCTATGAAGAGATAGTTCGGGTAAGTTCTATTTTCACTTCTTTACTACACTGTATTCTCTAGATTTATTATTGATCTTGTAGGCCTGTATTTTTCCTGGGTAAAAATGGTACATTGAAATCTGACATCATCGAACAATAACGGTTTATCAAATTGAATAATTAGTTAATAATTCCACACAATTCAGTCTTTTTCAATCTTGATATAATCTGAAGCATTTAACTTTTGGCAAGTCTGGCTCTAAATTAATAACAGATCAGATTAGGTTGAATATGTGTATATACTTAATTCACTGCTTATATTTAGTTTGCTGTATTAAAAGTATGGAAAGTTATAGCAGGAATTGCTGCGTCTAAAATTCTAGTGATGAGTTCATATGGACAGGCACACTATATTATTATGTATAATCCACAAACTTGTATAGAATATCGGGTGAATATGGCATTTATTTTGGTCAACAAAGTTTCAATTCTAGAAGACTTTTGTATAATCTTACACTTGATGCCTTTCTTGAATAAAGTGGTTGCCTATTTAGTTGAATCATATTATTCAATTATGATTATGGTTTTTATATTTGGCTTCTATCATGATGTGGCTTATACATCCCTACTTGACCGTTCCGTCATTATGTATCCAATTATCGACCCATTTAAATAATAAGAAGGTGCTGTTAGGAGGGTTTCTAGATTATTGTATTTTGTGGAAACACCGAAAGAGTGCGGATGGCGTGGAAGCAGTTGAAGAGCTGACATATATTTTAGAGAGCTTACCCTAGGGAAGGCATTCAATATTTGTATTTAAGGGGTTGTAGATTGTCAAGTTTATACTTGGCATTCAAACATGGCATGCAAATAATTATCCCCTTTCTTGTACTATGTCCCTTCTCCCAAATGTTTATCCTTATCTAATATGAATAATCATCATGCAGCTGCTTAGTTATAAAACCTTGCCTTTTCAGTTGGCCACTGCATGACATCATACCTGTGATTCATATGCAAATATGGAGGGTATAAAACCTTGCCTTTTTAGTTGGCCACTGCATGATATTATACCTGTGATTTATATGCAAATATGGAGGGTATTTTGGAAGTTAGTCCTGTTTGGGGTTTAGTAGATGGATGGTAGGATCAGATTTGAACAAGGTGGAGGACCATTATATATATGTTTTTAGAGATGGAAATGGGATCTACAGCTTGGAGGCTTAATTTGGAGTTTATAAATTTTTTAAAATAGCTGAGTATAATAACTTTGAAATTCTGTGGAGTTACCATATCTGGATAGCAGATAGTAGGAACGAGACTTGTAAGCTAGTGTTACGGGGCAATCCTCGGATCCCGACGCCCTGTCCGCCCGAGCGAGGCACGACCCAACTCCGTTGTCAAGCGGTTCGCATACAAGAAGAACCAACGTTATGGACACAACAGACTTCCATAACCCGGTCTGTGCGGGAAAGATTAAGCCGGGTGTTTGTGCAGGAAAGCCGAAGGGAGACGTTGCTGTGTCTGGAATCTGCAGGGAAGCAAATTCCATTCCGTCCCGTCCAAAGGAAGTGGCCAACGGATTCCACCTGAAACAAACCGGACAAAACCAGAAGTCCCGTCCGAGTTGGCCGAAGCTGCAGGGGTCATGCATGGGGATTGGAATTCGGATGAGATGGCCATGCAAGTGTGATTTGATAGCATTTAATGCTTTGAAGACACTTTGAGGCGGGAAGCAAATTAACAAGGGAATTTGACTTTTCAACCTCCATGGTGATTGGCCGAAATTTGGAGATATCAAATGTGATTGGCCGGCTTGTGGAGGAAGCATGTGATTGGTGGGGATTTTGAATTGCAACGGATCTCTCCAATTTGCAAAGGGTTCAATGAACCCTTTGAACCTCTTAAGCATTATATGCCTCCCTGATGAAGCTCAATTCTCAATGGCCGAATTTCCTTTGCTTGTAATATTTTATTTGCTCTTCCCTTGTAATCAACGGCTTAGAAGGCTCCCCGAATTACATTAATTCTATGAGCCATTGGATTTGGCTCTTTGGGCGGGAAATGTACAGGGAGAAGCTACCCCTTATCTGTATAACATTTTGTAATCTGTTAAGATTGCAGAGGACGGATGAGTGAAAATCCAGAAGCCCCGGTTTCCTCCATTGTTGCTCTCTGTTTTCGGTTCTCTGTTTCTGGTCTTAGTTTGCAATCTGTTTTGCATTCTGTTTTGATGTTTCCACTGCCAAACAGAGAGACCCAGAGAGAGAGAGAGAGTGAGGGAACCGGAGTGAGAGCCGTGTGTAGGAAGGCTGAAATCCGTAGAAGAGCCGACAGGCTTTTGTTCGAGGGGAAGCTAGCTCATGGGTCTTTGTGGGTTGCTGGGCGTCCGCCGCTTGCCAAGACCATGGTCTTGAGTCTTCGGTGGGGCGGGCCGCCACACTAGCGTGTAGGCGCAGCACTTGTTAATTGGGCCTCTAGCATGTAAACATTAAATCCTCGTCTTTTTGTAATTAAACAAGATAGCAGCAGTGTGTTAGAGAATCACTGGATATGCACTGTGGAGTAATGATGAACAGAGAGGGTGAAAAGGGTACACCTGGGAATTGAAGAAGCTAATCTCTTTTTGGTTTGGTTAGATATTAAGAGAAAGAGGAAGGAATGAAATCGGTAATAAATGATTTTCTGGCCATTCTTTCATCAAACAAAGATAACATGCTTTTGAGGGGAAACATGCTGTGATGTAAGATTTCTCCCCCACTTTCTGGGAGGAAGGATTGTGGTGGGCTGAGAAGGAAATATTTTCACATCTTTCTTTACCTTCTTTCCTACAAGCAACCTTTGTTTCCATCCATTGTTTTTACTTTTCCACATGTATTGTTAGGAATGATGTTGCATCCTATTTCACAATGAAAGAGTCAATGGAAGGGAAAGCATTGCCAAGAAGAGTCTGTTTATAACATAATCTTCATTTTTAAACAACTTACGTTATTTTGTTTTCATAACAATTGTGAAATGATGAGACAAAATTTCAGTGGTTCATGAGTTAAGTTTTAATGAAACTCAGTGTCAAACTAAGATATTGTTTTTCCTAGAAAGTGTTGTTTAGCGAGCCTATAGTAGCTGTCTATCAGAGATTGATGAATGTGAAAGGGTATTTAGAAACTCGGTGCCTTTGTACAACTATCACGTTCAAAAGTGATTATTTGCTTTCTATTTGTTTTGGTTGATACTAATTTTATTGTCATGGTATTTTATATTTCCACTTAATTGATTAAGGATTTAATTCTACTTCAAAATTTAAGTGAATATAAAATGTCCCTAAAAATGTTGTCCCATCTAACTAGACATTTTGTAACAATATAAATATAGACAGGTCATCACTCTTTCTGAATGAACTTTCTTTCTGTGTCCATTCTGCTAGCCAACCCTTTCTTATAGCAAACCTTCATTTAAATCTGATTGCTTGTTTAATTAGTGAAGACCTTTCTTATCTTGTGACTTGAAAGGTTGGCCTAACCCTGTATAACTATTTAGATGTTTGTTAATGGTTATTGCATTTCTGTGTTTTCATTTGTTTATTCAATTAATAATTATAGTATATAAATATTTGTTTCTTGTACTTATTTTTCCAAAACAATTATTTTTTCTAATGAAATATTTTATTGTTCTCCTTGTGTTTTTAAAATGTTCCAGACACATTTTGTTTCGTCATTGATTGAAATAAACAAGTTAACATGAGATTTTGATATTCATCAACTAAATTTCTGAAATTTTATAAGATATGTTGTTGTGATTGAAACCTATTACTTAGCTTGATTAATTCTTTTTCTTCTCACCATAACTCATTATAGAGGATTACTTCAAATTCATCTTCAATTTTCTTGCAACTATCAATAATCTAGAATGTCCCGCCATAGCTTATTTATTGAGAAGTTTGTATTTGCTTTGAGCTGCATTCAGTTACATTATTCTGGTAAAGCATATTTCGGTAAGATACTGATATATGTCTGGCATACAATATATGGACATTCTTATCTCTGCCAAAGAAAATTCCTTCTCTTTCCATAAGGTGTGTTTCACCATAAGATTTGGCCTCTAGAGTGCCAGCCTGTTCTTATGCTTTTCATCCAGTTTTTGGAACCATTTTCAAATTGCTTTTAATTTAACTAGATTTGTTCAGAGGGAGAGCAAAAGGAAAACCTGAGATCTATTGGGCAGTTTTGTATACTTCTCAATCCACATCAGCTATCAGACTGCTCTTGATAGTGTTTTGAGTTGTCAATGTCATACTTCTAGCAAGAAGCAAGTTAGCGAGCTAGATGTGAACTTGCGCCAAGTATCTATACTGTAGTCCAATATAACATAAGTTAAAAAGTGCTATTTGATAATTTATGAATCTCAGTTTGTTGCAGGAGTGCCAAAATTCCCATCAGAAATTTTTGTTTTTGATGGGTTTAAATGAGTGTTTGTGAGCACCACTTTATACAATGGCTATTGTGATTGCATTATATTCTCTTGTTTATTCATTGTGGCGTTTATGATTTGCCAGTTGCAACTGAATTCTTTCTTGTTCTGATTATGTTTTATTTGTCTTTAAAGTTTCCTCAATAATTTGCGTTGACCTTATCATTTGTTGTGTTTCAGACAAACAAGCGGACAATCCTTTTCTTTTTGTAAGGGGAGATGGGGTGATACTAGTTTCCCCGCCTCTGAGAACTGCTTGATCAAAAGAAGAGGCGCATATTTAGCTGGAGGGTGTATCATTTTGTGTAGAATGTTAGATGTGTTGCCATCTGTTGGTTTATGAAGGGTGTCCTTTTAACCGAAACCTTGAGACAAGGATGAATTGTTCGTTTGGATGCTGTCTTGTTCAAAAATTGTCCTTAAATATTTTGCCATCAGTCTTATATGATTCAGCTATTAGTAGTTTTGATGTTTATTGCATCTTGTAATAAAAGATGACCATATCCAATATAATAGGAGCTTAAAAAGTAAATCAAAATTGTATGAAGAATACAGGAATCATTTCCCTGGTCTGGGTTGCTTTAAACCATAGATGCTATATCAGAATATAATAAAACAAACATAACCTCGACATACCCGGTGACGTCAGCCCGTCTTATTATTTATTTATTTTTAGACCACGGAACGGTGGATTTGGCTCTCAACCATTACACTTTTTCGATTGATTACAATCGGTGGTCAGCTAGATGCCCAATACGTTGCAATTTTTAAATCTAAGGGTTTGTTATTAGCTTAGTTTAACAGAAAGTCCATGTTGACGACGGTCATCGATACTGAATGTGCCACAGAAAGGGTTTAACCTAAAGAAGAAGAAAAAAAAAAAAAGAAAAACTTATTACTATAAATTAATGCTACA